CAATTCATTATATCAGAATTTTGAAATTCTCAACTAGAACTTCCTAATTACAGATTAGAGTAGGACATTTGCTATGATAATGCGCTCCAGCTTTATGACTCTTTTTGTTATGCAAAAAATGGTGTTACTAGCTTAAGAGCTTAAGAAGAGCAATGCAAGAAAAAAATGTTAAATGTTGCAGTCAACTATGGTGGAATGATGCTTCGCTCACTTTTCGAACACTACCAACACTGCGAAATGGGTGCTGAGGGATCAGAAACAGCACTCGCAACCGCTGGCTACATCTCTGTTCCAGGCCACACGCCAATCATAGTGTCGTCAGTCGATTGTTTGCTATTCGCAGATGGATTAATGTGCATATTTTCAACTATAAGATTAAGGGAAGTTAACGGGCGCACCGTCTTGCGGCTACTGGTACGTGACGCTGCTAATGAGGCTGAGTCAGCTTGCTTAGCAAAGGATTTACCAGAATGGGTAAGTGGCACACCAATGTAGACGTCTGTACTGAATCAAATGATCATTAAATACTCAAATTAAGATAACCGCAGTCGTCGAAAGAAGCATGCTGCCAAAATTCACGAAAATGCCCTTCTATTTGCTGCCACACGCCAGTTTGAATGTGAAGACCCCGAAAAAGTAAGCATCAATTGCTTGGCATAGGCCTTGCAAGAAATGTCTTGGAGGTGTTTTCTGCTCTCGCAATGTTTGCTGAAAGCTTCCTATACAGAGATCGCCTTTCTGCCACTGAGATGCTGCAAGTTCGTAAAGTAATGGAGCATGTGTATGAAAAGATACTGAATAGCCCGGAATCAACGATGGGTGAGACACCGATGCCCGTGCAAATCCCGACCAATATTGAGCAAAAAATGGAGCTCTATTGTAACGAACAAGTAGGTTTCTGTTCAAGCAATCGGTTGTTCTTTTTTAATATCAGTCGAAGAAGCTACTGTGAAGAAATGCTTGCGAGTAAGCAGATCTGACGAATGAAGGGTTCAGTCCGCTGCTTTAATTTTCGGTTCCAATTTTCCGAGCCCTTCCTTTATCTGATTTGCTCATTTCCAAAGCACTGAGTTACAATAGCACCTTTGACTGTATTTTGCGGAAAAATTCATTTTAGCTTCTGAGTGCTCATTTGTGAAAAGCTCCGTGTGTTTTTGTTCCAGAAGCTCGATCCAGATATGGATCTTCGCTCGGTCAAGCATTTTGTTTGGAAACAAGGCGGCGACCTTCTTCTATATTACAAACCGTTGAAGTAATGTCATAGGACTTTTGTTAGAGATTTGTTCTTGTTCTCGGCTACCCACAAAGCTAAAATGACGACTCGTGCAGGTGTAGATACTCAGTATTGATTCGATATCGCTGGTATTCATTGCTAATTTATTGACATCCATTTCTCGTTTGTTCGTGTCATAGCTCCGAGAAAATGTCGATTCCCCTGGTGATGTACAGGTTATTTTGATGTAACTGGTTATCTTTCTCGTAGACGGTCTTGATTCCAATATGCATCGATTAATTTCAAATGAAAAATACATCTCCGAGTGTTTCAAAAGGTTTCTGGTGAAGTCTCGGTCACAGTACTTTAATTATTGCTCTTTTGTCAATCATTTCACTTTGAGGAGATTAAGTGAATGAGCTCCTATTGTAAATGGCTGTCGTTCAAGGTAGAAGGGTCCTAAGATGCGATCAGCATCTTCTAGTGATATGGAGCCGTCTTCAGAGGACCAGTCACCTCAGTGGACAAGTGAAAAATTTTTGGTGGGTTTTACTTCTTATGTGTCAGGAAATCATAATGTCTACATTTTTAAGTACATATTGATCAATAAATCTAACAGGTCAACAAAAGAAAAACTGGTTTGGTTTCTAGGCCTGTTGCGCATATTAAGTGCGAGCCGTGGGACCTGTGGAGAAAGGGTTCTTCATTGCATTCATTCAAATGAAATTCTATGTAAAGCATTATCCATGGGCCACTTGCCTACGAGTATTTCGCATGCTTAGCGCGCCAAAGTTTTGACGAAAAATAAAAAATCTTGACATTTGCGCAGAGTACAACATTTACATATCACAATTAGAGTTTTACAGATTCCATCTACTCGCCGGAGACAAAGTTCTAATTTCGTCGAAACTTGACCTATGGAGCAATTCTATTCCCGATACGAAGATAATAGTCATTGTACGCTGGCGCAAAATGAGTGCCATTGTACCTGTTCGCCACCAATCAGTCCATATAATCGGTCTTGAATTTCAATGAGTTGTTGTTTGGTGTCCTGATCAGAGAAACCGACATTCACCATTTTGGAATTAGCGCTGATAACGAATATTTTGCGTCCAGGTGCCGTTTCGGGCCTAACAATAATCTAAGCTTATTTGGGAGTTAGCCATCGAGTGGGTAAATAAGCATGTGGCAGAGAGTGTTGAGATCACAAGGTTGACTGACTATTACACCTCTGAGGTACTCTCTCCTTCAAAGGCCTTAGTCCTTTATCGCAGCGCAAGTTATTACGATGGGCGTCAAATGGCGCCAGCCCCAACAATTAGTGTCATTTTATACCCCGGGTATCGAATTACTCCTGTGGGCAAAGCTTTGACAAGAAATAAAACTTTGAGATTTTGGAGCGGTTGCGGTACGGGCAAGCGTGCGACTGGCACTGGAGCGACTGGCACTGGAGCAACTGGAGCCAGGCGCTCGTAAAATTCGTCCAAACGCGCCCATTCCACGTCGCAGATTGGGGTGCGGCTACAACAGTGGAGGCCTCGTTCGGGGCCTAATCGGAGGTTTCCTCTGATTTTTTTTGTTTTACTAAGCATTCTCCACCTCCAAATTCTTTATTGGGCGCTCTTACACAGTTTATACCTGGGTTTGCCTAACGAACATATAAGTGGACATCTTCACCGTGTGTTTCTAATGAATTCATTTTGAAAGGTTGTGTATCAAGTTGTGCCAAATGGCGCCTGGATGAGTGCTACGTTTGTTGCGATTAGGGCCTTCTTTACCTTTACAGATGGTTTTTACGAAAGCAGCCTTCTTCTGTTTCATAGTACTACTCCTACTTCTCCAATGTAGGGTAAGGTCAAAATCACGATTTCACTAGAAATTTGTCTCTAGGGGTAGTTTGAGCTGACAGATCCCATCTTCTAAAGATGATCTTGCAAATCCTTCTGTATTACTGATAGACCGTTAGCGTATCCGGACGCTGCTGTCGGATCTGTACCGCTCGTGATTTATTTTGCAACATCGTTTAGGTAAGCGGCATAGATTTGAAGCAGTGTCCTAAGACATATCATGTGGTGCCAATTTCGTTCCAAACGACAGCTTCGACCTATGTTCCTTCGTTTTAATGGATATCAGGGTTCTGATTTTAAATTTGTTCCTAATTGTTAACTGCAGTTTTTGGCCACAGTTCGCTTTGCGAATGTTTCACAAGAATGCTGGGTTGTGAACAAAACTTTCGCCCCAGGCGGGACTAGAACCCGCACCTCTCGCTTTCCGGGCAAGTGCGCTACCAGTTACGCTACCGGGGCACCATTTCATTCCAACTCAGCTTTTCATGGTATACGTACCATAGCTTTCAGCACTCACACGTATAACGTGGTGAGTTATACGTCGAGTCCCGCCTAGGGCGAAAGTTTTGCTCGTCACTCAGCGCTTTCGTGTAACTTTGAGCATTTTCAAAGTTGTGCTTTCATAACGGCAATTGCCACTGTTGCTACCATTCCAGGAACTTCGTGCCGAATTCTTAGCTGAACGCACCGAGTTCAAAGCTTTAGAAATTCTCAAACGGATGGTAGCGATAGATGTGAGACAGGTTGATGAGTAAGTTTCTCTTAGTTGTTTAATTTGTTTTTGAGAACTGTATTGAAGCCTTTTTTTAAGGAATGCTTGGCTTGATTGCAAAGATCTCATAGCGATGCTCTTAAATGCTATTCCAGTTCAAACTTTGCTGGAAACGCAACAGGTAGGAAAGACGATATTGGATTATTTCATTACTCCACACATTCGTTGGCAACTTGGAGTGCGGATCGGGTAGTGGATGTTTGAACACAGGCACAACCAACCAGCTGCTCAGCACTTACAGTGATACTCATTCATCAAAATGAGCTGATATTGTTTCTGTGTTACCCGTTTTTTCTACAGTACAATTATACTTTGGACTTTGCAGATTATGCTGCTGACGGCCCTGGAGTCATGTCCGTCGCATGTGGTGGCTGCACTTGCTTCTCATCTTACATCTCATCAAGATGTGGTGTCGCCGCTGCTGAATGGCGTAGCTCAAGCGGTAGCAGTAGCCTTTGCCCGCCGCATTAATGATCCAGACACTTTCGAGCAGGTAAACATGCCCATCGTTCTCGCGTACGATATAATAGATCTCTTGAAATACGCTTGTCGAAGTGTTGTAAAAGGTTCCGTGTAACAACTGCAACACTTGAGGTCACCTGATTTAATCATGCTTAAAGCCACGAGTCAGGATTAGGGAACATTAGGAAGTCCTTTATAGGGTGCGAAAGTGGGGTCTCCAAGCAGAGGGGGTGTGAGGCTGTCGCGACAAGGAAGTGCGCGGCAAAGGCGCTAGGGCCTTGCAATTGTGTGCTGCCGTGCTGCGAGAATTTCCGGCAGCACGGATCGGCTGTGGTACGTGGCTGGCCTAACGTGT